CAAGTTGCTGCAGGATTTTTGAGGATTCCTCTCGTTTCCTGCGGGGTCAGAAGGATTCCTTCATATTCCTCAGGCGCTTCACCGCGTTGCGGAGAAATTCCGCAGGGGTTGCACATTCGAAAATGATTCGTGAGGGCTTCTGCGGGATTTGTGAGCACATTTCTGTTGATGCATGAGGAATTCCCCAGGATTCCTTCAGATTCTTGCGGGCGTTTTGAAGGGTCCGTCATAATCTGGGTTCGTGCTTACTGATTCCTGCGGGTTTCTCACACATTTGCAGTGCTTCCTGAGGCTCCTGAAGGATTCCGAGGAAACTCCGGACGGTTCGTGCACACAATCCTTCGGGATTCTTACAAATTCCTGGGCGAGTCCTAGGGCACTCCTGCGGGATTCCTTCGGGATCCCAAGGAAATCCGGAGGATTCCGAGAGGGATCCTGGGGGATTTCTGTGGATTTTTGCACGAGTCTTGAAGGGTGCTTGAACCATGCTTGAAGGATGATTTTTAGGTAAATCGGCGATTCCTCGCGCTTCGTGGGGTGCACGTGTGGAGTACGTACACACTGGGCATTGTGTGGTCTGCTGTGCTCGTCTGCCGCGCTGGTTGGCCGTGTCGTTCTGCCCGCCCCGGGGTGTTGCCAGCGCCGCGGGGGCGATGCGTCTCCACCCGTTTCAGTGCTGGGGCGCGCGTGCGAACGTCTACGAAGCACTGAGTATCCACCGCGTGTCAGCACAAGGCAACGCCAAGTTCAAATCCCAAAGAACATAGCAACAACGCGCCATTCATATGCAATTGCGGGGTTTTCTTGGTGGTCTTTGTGGGGCCTCTTAGGGCCTCGTGGGGGCCTCTTTGAAGCTTCTTGGTGGCCTTTGGGGGCGTCTTGGGGGTCTCTTTGAGGCCTCTTGGGGCCGTCTTGGACCGTCTTGGGGGCTCTTGCGCCGTCTGGCTCGTCAGGGGGGCCTCTCTGGGCTGCCTTGGGGCTCTCTTGGGGTTCTCTTGGGCCGTCTTGGGGGCCTCGTGGACCGTCTTGGCGGCCTCTTTGGGCAATCTTGGGGCTCTCTTGGGCCGTTTCGGGGCCTTTTGGAGGCCTCTGGGGCCCTGGGACTATTTCAGAGGCTGGGTGTGCGGGACGCATGCGGGCACACCCACTGGGGCCTTCGGTGGAGCTCCCTATGGGGCCACGAAACGTGTGAGGGGTGTGCCGAAATGGGCGTGCGGGACGCATGCGGGCACACCCACTGGGACCTTCGGCGAGGCTCCCTATGGGGCCACGGAACGCGTGAGGGGCGTGCCGAGATGGGTGTGGCTGGCGCATGTGGGCGCGGGCACTGGGGCCTTCGGCGGAGCTCCCTATGGGGCCACGAAACGTGTGAGGGGTGTGCCGAAATGGTGTGTGGGGCCTTCGAGCGCCACGAAACGTGTGAGGGTGTGCCGGGCTGACGCATGCGGGCGCGGGCACTGGGGCTTTCGGTGGAGCTCCCTATGGAGCCACGAAGCGTGTGAGGGGTGGGCCGAAATGGGCGTGGCTGACGCATGCGGGCGCGGGCACTGGGGCCTTCGGTGGAGCTCCCTATGGAGCCACGAAACGCGTGAGGGGTGTGCCGTGTGACGCATGGGCGCGGGCACTGGGGCCTTCGGTGGAGCTCCCTATGGGCCACGAAACGTGTGAGGGGGTGTGCCGAATTGGGTGACGCATGCGGGCGGGCACTGGGGCCTTCGGTGGAGCTCCCTATGGGGCCACGAAACGTGTGAGGGGTGTGCCGAATGTGGTGGGTGGCGCATGCGGCGCGGGCACTGGGGCCTTCGGCGGAGCTCCTATGGGGCCACGAAACGTGTGAGGGGTGTGCCGAATTGGGTGTGGGTGACGCATGCGGGCGGCAGCACTCCCTATGGAGCCACGAAACGTGTGAGGGGTGTGCCGAAATGGGTGTGGGTGACGCATGCGGGCGCGGGCACTGGGGCCTTCGGTGGAGCTCCCTATGGAGCCACGAAGCGTGTGAGGGGTGTGCCGAAATGGGTGTGGGTGACGCATGCGGGCGCGGGCACTGGGGCCTTCGGTGGAGCTCCCTATGGAGCCACGAAACGTGTGAGGGGTGTGCCGAAATGGGTGTGGGTGACGCATGCGGGCGCGGGCACTGGGGCCTTCGGTGGAGCTCCCTATGGAGCCACGAAACGTGTGAGGGGTGTGCCGAAATGGGTGTGGGTGACGCATGCGGGCGCGGGCACTGGGGCCTTCGGTGGAGCTCCCTATGGAGCCACGAAACGTGTGAGGGGTGTGCCGAAATGGGTGTGGGGGACGCATGCGGCCGCGGGCACTGGGGCCTTCGGTGGAGCTCCCTATGGAGCCACGAAACGTGTGAGGGGTGTGCCGAAATGGGTGTGGGGGACGCATGCGGCCGCGGGCACTGGGGCCTTCGGTGGAGCTCCCTATGGAGCCACGAAACGTGTGAGGGTGTGCCGAAATGGGTGTGGGTGACGCATGCGGCGCGGGCACTGGGGCCTTCGGTGGAGCTCCCTATGGAGCCACGAAACGTGTGAGGGGTGTGCCGAAATGGGTGTGGGTGACGCATGCGGGCGCGGGCACAGGGGCCTTCGGTGGAACTCCCTATGGAGCCACGAAACGTGTGAGGGGTGTGCCGAAATGGGTGTGGGTGACGCATGCGGGCGCGGGCACTGGGGACTTCGGTGGAGCTCCCTATGGGGCCACGAAGCGTGTGAGGGGTGTGCCGAATTGGGTGTGGGTGACGCATGCGGGCGCGGGCAGCGGGAGGAGTGAACGCGGGGCGCTGTCTCTTCAAAACGAGGACCCAACACCACAGGATGGTTGGGAAAAACCGGCGGGCAATAATTGTTGTTGGCTTCCGGACGCTTTCTTGGGGGTCCCCTTGGGGCCATTTCGGGCTGTCTTGGGGGCCTTTTGGGTCCTCTCGGGCCTGGGGCCGTTTTGGTGCCGTCTTGGACTGTCTTGGCCATCTTGGGTGTTCTTGAGGCCACCTTGAGGCCCTCTTGGGCCTCCAAGAGCCCCAAATCGTGGATTTTCTTTAGGTTTTGGTTGGCCTTTGAAGCCTAGAAGGGTGGGGTGGGGGGGCATCTTTGGTTCACGGATGTGGCGTGACTCCGGTGGAGGGGTTACGGGGGGATGCAGAAGTATGTTAAATAACGCAAGGTGTAGCATTTATGCAGTGGATTGGTACATCGGATACGTCGCATTCAGGCGTTCGCCGGCAACTGCTGCCGCTCAGCACGTCACCGCTGGACGTGGATTCCTCTCGCTTCGCGGGGTGCACGTCCGGAGCACGTGAACGCTGGGCGCTGGGTGGTAAGCTGTGCTCGGCTGCCGCGCGGTTCTGCCGTGTCGTTCTGCCCGCCCTGGGGTGTTGCCAGCGCCACGGGGGGCGGATGCGACCCCCCCCTGCCCCCTGTTCCAGCGCCGGACCGAGCGTGTGAATTTCGCGTGGGCAATGGGCATTCACCGCGTGTCAGCACAAGGCAACGCCCGGTTCAAATTCCAAAGAGCAGGGCACAAACGCGCCATTCTCATACCCTTCCGCGGGTGTGATGGTGGTTCCTTGGGGCCGTTTGGGGGCTTCTTCGGGGCCTCTTGGAGGCTTCTTGGGGGCTTGTTGGGGACTTCTTTGGGGCCTCGTAGGGCGGCTTGGGGCACTTAGGGGGCCTCGTGGGCCGTCTTGGGGCGCTCTTGCGCCGTCTGGCCCCTTCGTAGTTCGTCTTTTCGTCTTGGGGGCCTCTCGGGGCCGCCTTGCGGCTCTCTTGGGGTCCTCTTGGGCCGTGTTTGGGGCCTCCTGAGCTGTCTTATGGAGCTTCTTTGGGCAATCTCGGGGCTCTCTAGGGCCGTCTTTGGGCCCCCTCGGGCACCTATGGGGCCGTCTTGGTGCTTTATTGGAGGATGCTTAGGCCGTCCTGGGCCCCCGAGAGTTGAAAAAGGCGAGAACGCGAAAATATCGCCAAACCCATAGGGAGATCGATGTTTCTGGCCTCTGGAGCAGCTCATGGGGGCCCCCTTGGAGCGTCTTGGGGCCCTCTTGGGCCCTTTGGGGCCATCTTGGGCCGTCTCGGGGCCGCCTTGTCTTGTCCCCCTCGACTCCTGGGTGGTTAACGAAATAGTGTAAACTAATGCAGTATGTAGCAGTTATGCAGTATTGGGTACGTTGGAGAAGTTGAGGCTCTTGCCAGAAAACGCTTCCACTCAGCACGTCACCTCCGGACGTGGACTCTGCGTCATTCGGGAGCGCGTTCCCTGACGCCCCTTGCACGTGTCGCCGCCCTGGGGCCAGGGCTCTCCCCGCGCGCACGATCATCATAGTCAGCAGGGCCGGCGTCGCTGCCACCTCCCCAGAACTGACCTCGTGCTCGTCCGGAAACGATGCAGAACAAATAAGTTTTCAAGAGTTTGTCTGCCTCGGCGGGGCCTGTGGGTGTCACACTATGTGTACGCAGCCGAAGCGGAGCCTCTTGTTTGCGTCTTGGAGGCCTCTTGGGGACTTCTCGGGGCCTCCCGGGGGCCGCTGTGGGGCCTCTTAGGGGCTCCGGGGGGGATTTACAGGGGGCGGGGGAAGAATCCGTTGCGATCTCACCCGCCTTGCTGGGGTCTCGCCCGTCCGGTTGGGATCTCGCCCCGTCGCCCCCAAGATGGGCCCAAGTCGCGCCCCAGGACGCGTCGCAGACACTTCGGACAAGATCCTCCCTCCGAGCCCCTCGAGGGTCGAGGCGCCTGTGCCTCTGGCGACCCCCTCCGAGGGCGCCCGCGGAGGCCCCCAGCACGGGCCCGAGCGGAGCCGAACTCTACGGACCTTCTCTGGGGGCCGGAACCTGGTGAGTGTGGCCGCCCCCCGCCGATTCGGATTCTGGGCGGTGGGCGTGGGCGTGGGCTGACCCGCGCGGGTCCAGGCTCGGAGCCTTCCCCCCAGACCCCGCGGCGCGGGCGACCCGCACGGGTCCAGGCTCGGAGCCCTCCCCCCCTCTACCCCCCACCTCCCCCGGGAGCCAGGATGCCGCTCTGGTGGCGGACCTCGGCTGGCTGCGCGCGCCCGCGGGCGCGAGGCTGGCGCGGCGCGCCGCGTCGCACCCGCTCTCCTCCCTGGGCTCGCGGGCCACCGGGATTCCTCGCGGGCGATCCTGGCAGCCGCCCGCGGGCTGGGCCGCCCCTGCGCTCGCGGCCGCCGTGCTGCGATGCCCCGCCGCACGGTCGGGCGCGGCGGAGGAGCGCGTGCGCCAGAGTACGCCGCAGCCCTTGAGCACGCGGGCCGCTGAGCTCCCCGTGTCTGCGCAGTCCCGGTTGTCCGTCGACGCGGGGTCGGCCAATCCAGAACGTTCGGCCGCCGACAAGCTGGCCGACCTCGGCGCCGCGGAGCCTCCAGCATGTGCGAAGACCGCGGGAACACCGCTGGCCTGCAGGATTCCGGGCGACGCGCCTTTGGAGTCCCTGCCGGAGCTGCTGCGGGGCTCGCCGCTCGAGGCCGCGGGCGCGGTGCTGGGGCGGTCCCCCCGGGGGCGCCTCGCGCTGGGCGTGGAGTTCCTGGACGCGCACGCCGCGGCGAGCGGCCGCGGCGCCGTGCCGCGGGCTGGCCAGTTCCTGAGCGGAGAGGCCCCCGACAGGAGAGGGAGGAGGGGGACCAGGGTAAGCTCAAGATGTGCAAACGATGCTGCAGTATACCCTCCCGCCCTGAGTCCCCCCCCTCAGAAGTCCTCACGACCAATCTGTTTGTTTAACTGCGCGAAGCGACCCCTTCAAAGACAGTGCTCCAGGTGCCCGCAAGTCAGGCGGGAGTTCAACGCCCACTCGTCAAAAGGAATTGCCCTCCAGCCTTCGAGCTCCAAGGGATGCGGCGAGATGGGCACATGAAGTTCAAGGACGTGTCCAGCGGCAGCCCTCCGCTTTGGCAGGATGCGCCCTCCATCCGTGTAAGTGTTGCCCGACTGTAGTCTTCTGGCCACCAGATCTGGAGAAGTCTCCTGCGACAGCCCCATTTTGTGAAAAAGGGCTGCCCTCCATCCGTGCAGCACTTGCCAGTGTTTGGCCTTCTGGTCCTACATTTGCAGAAATCTCAAGCGAGAGCCCCATTTTGAAAAGGAAGCGTTCTCCACCCGTGTAACTGTTCAACAGTGGTACATGTCTTTATTCCGTGCATGAATGTATACATATGTGTATACAAACATATTGCGAAGGCCTTACGGCCGGTGCCGCCGACCCTGAAGACGAGGAAGATGAAAACGAGCGGGAGGGGTAGGAGGCCTAGGAGGCCTAGGAGGAGGAGGCGGCGGAGGAGGAGGAGGAGGAGGAGGAGGAGGAGGAGGAGGAGGGATGGGGAAGGAGGAGGAGGAGGAGGAGGAGGAGGGATGGGGAAGGAGGAGGAGGAGGAGGAGGAGGGGAGCAGCGAGAGGAGGCGAGTAGGAGCAACCAATTCTGGAGGCCTCGGCTCTCGACGTAAATGGGAGGGAGGGCGGGGACAAAACCTTTCCGATAATCAATGAATATGGCCTCTCTGGGCCTTCTTGAGAGAGTCCATGTGGGGCTCTTTTGACCCGTCTGAGGGCCCCTTTTGGCCGTCATTAGGCGTTCTTGGGCTGTCTTGTGGGGCTTGGGCCGTCTAGGGGCGCTCTTGCAGATCCGTCGTGGCGACCCCCCCCTCCTCCAGCGCATCTACAGAGGGCCCCTTTGTAAAAGCAACAAACGGGGGATGGTATTTTGACCCGGGACCCCCCCCCCCCGGGACCCTCTCCCCCCTCCCGGCGGGGAAGGGATCAAAGGGAAGAGGCTTCCCGTCGACAACGTTGTTAATTTCGCTTTGGCTGGGTTGCTTTATTTCGCTTTGGCTGGCGCGCTTGAGGACGAGGGCCCAGGGGAAGAGGGGGGGAGCGGCGACGGACCCAGAAAAGAAGAAGACGAGTACGTACGATGACAACAACCACGACGAACAACGCATTCGGCGGATTGGACTAGATATCACATGAAAGTCTATATGTTGACATTTGTATACGTGCACCCACACATACACTTATACATCTCTATATATACACATGCGCGCACACTGAGTACTTCTTGCAAGAGTCCCAGGCGAGCATCCCCATTTCGAAAAGGATCCGTCCTCCATCAGTGTGGATTTGAAGGCGAATGTGGGCGACGCCAAGGCGACAGCCCCATTTTGGAAAGGGTCCGCCCTCCATCAGTGTAGTTAATAGATATTTAACACGAGTGCGTGCGGCGCCAATGCGAGGGCCCCATTTTGAAAAGGATTCGTCCTCCCTCCGGTTAGCTGTAGGTGCTGTTTAGGACGAGTGTGCGCGGCGCCAAGGCGAAAATCCCATTTTGAAAGCGACCCGCCTTCCATCCTTGCAGCTGTTGGAAATCTCAAGCTTCAAGATCGTAAACGGCAGGGGAGGTTTCAGGCGAAGCGCCCCGCGCACTCCGACGGCACGTCTGGTGGTGCGAAAGGGCGGAGTTCCTCGTAAGGAAGTGGGAGGGATGGGGGAAGGGGAGGAGAGGGAGGATGGGGAAGGAGGGGTGGGAGGGGGAGGACGGGGGAGGAGGGGGGAGGAGGTAGACGAGGTGGATGAGCGAATAGAGGCCCTCGACGCGTGCCTGTGCCTCCTCGAGCCTGGCGCCTTCGCCATGGCCCTCTTCGCCCGACACCACGGCGTCCTGCTCGGAGACGCAGGCCTCTTCGCTCGCCTCCTCGGTCACCTCGAGGGCGTGCCGGCTCCCGACCTTGAGACGTGCCGCTCACTGGTGAGGGCCTGCGGGGAGCGCCAACTGTCCACCCGCACCGACCCCGTCCAGGCCAGCCTCGGGCCCAGGAGCAGTGCGTGTGCCGTCCTGGGCGGGCCGCCAGTGCGCACGCGCTTCACGCCGACCCCGGCCCCCAGACTCGCTCGGCCAGGGTTGTTGCAGGCGGACAGGCGGCGCCCTCCAAGGCCTGCCTCGCCCACGGGCACGCGGAGCAGGCCCGCGCCTTCTTCGCGCAGGGCGCGGGCGCCTCCGCGGGCTGCGCGTCGCTGCTCGGCCACGACGCCCTGCCGCTCGATCTGCTCCAGGCCGACGCCTGCGGGGCGGAGCTGCTGGCCAGGTTCCTCGAGGGCCTCGGTGGGTCGGCCGAGGTGCTTGCGGCCGTGCAGGCCGACGGTGGTCCGGTGCGGGCGCTGATGGACGTCGCGTCGCACGACCCGCAGGTGGCGGAGCTGTGCGGGACCTCGAGGCGGGTCCTCTCCGACGCCCTGCAACTGGCCATCGAGGGCGGCGCCGATGCGGCAGGGCGCGTGCTGCTCCGCGTGCTGGCCATGGCGCAGCCAGATTTGCTCCTCGACTTCCCTGTGCCAGTGCCGTGGCTGGATGCGCTGCGCGGCGCTCCGCGCTGCCGCTGGTTCGTGAACGAGACGCTGAAGTCGCTGGAGGGGGCGCCCCACCACGAGTTCGCTGGGCACGCTACGAGGTTCTTGGAGGAGGGGGGAGATGAGAGGCACTGGTCAGCGCAATGAGTCAGACGGTATCAGGCCCAGGGTTCAGCAAGGCTGTCGTTTTGTTTTGGGTTGGTGATTCCCTTGGGTGTCTAGGCACTGGTCACCTCGATCGAGGCAGACGGTACCCGGCCCAAGGGTGAGAGACTCCCCTGGGTGGCAAGGCACTGGTCACCTCTATGAGGCAGACGGTACCCTGCCCAGGGGTCAGAGTCGCCATTTTGCTGGAAAGCCTCGCCGATGTTTGGCCGTTCTGGCTGGGACAGTGTATTTCTAACTAGACTGGTAGAGATGTGGTTCACTTGCGTATCCAACTCGGGCGCCGCTTGCGAGCTCCAGGAAGGCGGTTCTTCTTCTCCTCCCCACAAGTAATGGGCGCTGTGTGGCCGAGCTTTTGTTGGCGCATTTCAGTGTACGGATCATGTGAAGGGGTTCGGACTATTGGAATTATTTGAGTCTGAGTGTCCTTGGTATTTTTGGAAATGAATTCTGGTGCCTTCTGAGACCCTTGTTACTCTTGGGGCTTCTCTGCGGCCTTCGTGGTCCTGGGCAATCGGGAGGCTCTCGGGGCTCTCGGTGGAGCCCTTGGTGCTCCTGGGACTGGTGTTGCGCTTTGGACCCTTGAGGCTCCTGCGCTTTGGGGGGTATTGATGCTACTCAAGAGCCATAAACCATGGCACAGGCCTGAAAGGTGGATGGGCGAATGTAATTGTTATCGCTGCTTGTTTTCTGAGCAGCCCAGCCAGAAACGATGCCCAGGTAAACAGTCGATAGAAGAACAGTAAACAAACATAGTGAAGCAATGAGGCCAAGACTGCTGATCGTAGAGACCTGTGGAAGTCTTTGGGATGCCTCTTGGGGCTATCTTGGAGATCTGTTGGGGCTCTTTTGGGGTCCTCATGTGGGCAGTGCGGGCCGGGGTCATCCTTGAGGACACCGATCCAAACATGGGGGGGTTCAAGCTGGAGTCCCCCAGTCGGAGCCGCTCTTGTGGGCCGTCTGGGCCGTCTGGAGCCAACTTGGGACCGCGGAAGCGAGTGTTGGATGTCGTCTGCCATCGTGTGCCATCGTTGGCTACCCTGTGCCATCTTGGAGGCCACCATGGGGCGCCCCCTCGCGCATATTCGAATGCATTCGGACTACGTTAGAGCGTGAGTGGTTTCGCGGGTTTCCTGTTCCAGCCCTCCTTTTTCCTCTTCGGGGAGGGGTTTACCCCGCCCTCCCCCTCCCCCGGGACCTGGACGGGCGCCCCTGAGAGGCGTCAGAGCGTTCAGCAAAGCTTCGGCGAGAAGGCCAAGACCATGGATTTTCTTTTGGTTCTGGGCCCGTTTTGGCTTCGAGTGCCCCGAGGGAGCGCTACGAGGTGCCCAGGAGGCCAAGAGGCCCCCAACATTCCTCCAAGCTGCCCGCAAGAGGCTCCCAAGGGATTCCCAAGAGGCCCGAAGAAGCCTCCCCGAGGCACCCAAACCGCTTCAAGAGGCCCCCACCAAGATGCCCTCAAAACGCCCCAACAGGTCTACGAGATGCTCTCCAGAGACGTCCGAAGAGACTCCGAAGAGCATCCAAGAGGCCTCTGGCCTTTCTGTTGGCCCCCTCCTCTGCCTCTTCCTCATCTGCCTAATCCTCCTCCTGCCTCCTCCCTTCTCCCTGCTCCCTCCTCCCCCTCCACCTCCTCCTGCTCCTCCTCCTCCTCCTCCTCCTGCTCCTCCTCCTGCTCCTTCTCCTCCCCCTCCTCTGTTTCCTCCTCCATCTTCCCCCTCTTGAGGTATGACTGCCTTCGAGCCATTATTCTGCTGCGTGCTTTCCCACATGCCTGATCAGGGCAACTCGCCTGGGTGTCGTTTCTGGATTGGCTGGTGGGGATTTTTCCGATCGCGAGCGCAAACGGAAGTGCCGCGCGCAGTCCAGAGCTACAGCTAACAAGCCGGAGCCAAAATTGCACACGAGAGAGAGGAAAAGAGAGACGGATGGTGGGGATACGCAAAGTGTTTAGAATAATACGACTGAAGGTGGGATTGCAGGATTGCGTGGTCAGTGAATCACTTAAGCGGATTTGTTGGATTAGCAGGATCAATTGGATCACCAGGATCGGTCGGATCAATTTGATCCTCTGGATCAGCCAGATAAGCCGGATCATCTGGCTGGATCAGCCGGATCACCGGACCAGCCGGCTGGATCACCGGATCAACGGATCGGCCGCGCGGATCAGCAAGATCACCAAATCAGCCGGCCAGATGACACGATCACGGGATCATTGGGTCACCTGGCCAGATCACCAGATCACCGGATCAACGGGCCACCTGGCCAGATCACCAGCTGGCTAGATCACCAGATCACTGGATCACCGGATCAGTCGGCCAGGTTAGGGGATCACCAGATCACCAGATCATTTGATCAGCCAGCCAGATCACGGGTTTTTCGAATCGCTGATCACCAAATCACCAGGTCACCGGATAACCAGACCATTGGAACAGTTGCCTGCATCACCAGATCACCGATTCATTGGATCAGCCGGCTGGATCACCAGATCACCGGATCAGCTGGCTGAATCAACGTATCTACGGATCACCGGCTCACCAGATCCACCAGATCAGTTAGATCAACAGATCATCAGATCACCAGATCACTCAGCTGGATCACCAGATCACCAGATCCGCCGGCTGGATCACCAGATCACCACATTTGCTGGCGGGATGACGGGATCACCAGATCAAGAGATCACGGTCAGATCATCAGATCACCCCCGACTGGTTCAGCCGGCTAGATCACCGGATCACCCGATCACTGGATCATTGAATCAGCCAGCCGGACTACAGGGATAATTGAATCACAAGATCATCAGATCACTTTATCGGTCGGTTGGATCATTGGATCAACCAGCAGGACCACCAGTTCACATTGGATTACCCGATCAGCTGGCCAGACGATCACCAGATCATTGGATCATTGGATCACCAGGTCACCAAATTAGTCAGCCAGATCACCAGATCAATGGATCCCCGTATCATCACACAACTGGCCCGAATTTGGATTACCATATCACCCGCTCACTGGATCACCTGGCTCACTGGATTACCGTATCACCAGCTCTCCGGATCACCGAGTCAGTGATTCACACTTGATTTATTTGCCAGATCACAGGATCACACACGACCACCAGATCAGCCGGCCGGATCATCGGATCACCAGATCACCAGATCAGTCTGCCGAATTATCGGATCACCAGATCATTGGATCATTGGGCCAGCTCGCTGCATCATCAGATCATTGGATCACCAGATCTCCAGGTCAGCCGGCCGGATCACCTGATGACCAGATCAGTTGGCCGGATCACTAGATCATTGGATCAGCCGGCCAGATCACCGGATCATTGGATTACCGGATCACCAGATAACAGTCGGCTAGATCACCAGGTCATCGCAGATCATTGGAACACCAGATCACCAGAATACCGTATCCGCCAGCCAGGTCACCAGATCACCGAATCATCCGATCACCAGATGAGCCGGCCAGACTGGATCACGGGATCATTTTGCATCAGCCGGCCAGATCACCAGATCACGGATCACCAGTTCAGCTGGCTTGACCGCGATATCACCAGTTTCCAAAAAGCCAAGAACAATGTAATTATCTTTAGACCGTGATCAGTTGGCCAGATCAATGGATCACCGAATTATTCGGCCAGATCACCAGATCACCATAACAGTGGATTTTCGCAGCAGCTGGCTTGATCACCGGATCGACAGATCCTTGGATCACCCGTTGAGGTGGCCAGATCACCGGATCAGCGGGCCAGATCGCTGGATCACCAGATCATTGGATCACCAGATCACTGGATCACCTAGCGGATCTCCGGTTCACCAGTTCAGGCGGTGGGATCACGGGATCACCAGATCATCGGATCTATTGGATCAGTTGAAAATTCGATCACCAAATCAGCCAGCCAGATCATTGGATCGCCGGACCACCCGAGCGACCCAATGTGGAAAACAATCCGTAGTTCAAATTCATTCGGATATCCCCCCTCTGCCGTGGGAGTGTGGACTCCTGGGGACCTTCTCACCTTCGGTTAGCGGGGGTCGACCAATTCTCTCTTCCCTGGCGCTTGTGCCTTGTGAGGCCGAAAATGTGATAATGGAGTGAGTAGTTCCCCAAGCAGTGCTTGCATTTAGAGTCTCTTACCTCGTCTTGGTAATTAATTGTTGAATCCTTTTAAGTAACTATTTCCCCACATATTTCGTGGGGTTCTGGTTTTCATCCCTGCCGCGTCGCACCCGCGTCTCCCGCACACGCACACACACACACACACCTCCCCTCAGTTGTCCTTCCCCCCCCTTCTCCGCTTCCTTCCCCACATGCTTAGTGGTGTTCTCGTTTTTTCTCCACATTTTTCGTGGGGTTCTGGTTTCTTCCCTCCCGCGCACCAGAGCGAGTGCGCAGGGGGTGGTCTCTCAGCGCGGCCTGCGTGCCAGGGTCGGAGAGCGTGGCAGGCGTGGCCTTTCTCGACACCAGAGGGGGTGCGCAGGGGGGTGGTCTCTCAGCGCGGCCTCTATGCGTGCCAGTGGCGGAGAGCGTGGCAGGCGTGGCCCTTTCTCGACACCAGAGGGGGTGCGCAGGGGGGTGGTCTCTCAGCGCGGCCTCTTTGCGTGCCAGTGTCGGAGAGCGTGGCAGGCGTGGCCCTTTCTCGACACCAGAGGGGGTGCGCAGGGGTTGGTCTCTCAGCGCGGCCTCTATGCGTGCCAGGGTCGGAGAGCGTGGCAGGCGTGGCTCTTTCTCGACACCAGAGGGGGTGCGCAGGGGGGTGGTCTCTCAGCGCGGCGTGCCAGGGTCGGAGAGCGTGGCAGGCGTGGCACTTTCTCGACACCAGAGGGGGTGCGCAGGGGGGTGGTCTCTCAGCGTGAGGGGGCGGGCGGGCCAGCGCGGCGCCCGCGATAAACCCGCCTCGCGGCCCGCCCGCGACCCATCGGCCCGACGACCAGCTTCTGCCGCGACCCACCCGCGCCTCGGCCCATCGGCGCCGCAACCCACCGGCGACCCGACACACCCCTACCCGCGACCCACCCGCGACTCACCTGCGACGCGACCCACCCGCCCGCGCCCCACCCGCGCCGCGACCCACCCGCGCTGCGGCCCACCCACCGGCGCCGCGATCCACCCGCCCCGCGACTCACCCACGACCTACCCGCGCTGCGACCCACCCGCTCCGCGACCCGCGCCGCGACCTGCCCGCGACCTACCCGAGGGGACGACGACAACAACAACAAGAAGCAGCAGAATCCTCACTGCCGATCCCCACTGCAGCCACGCACCCAGAGACAGTGTAAGACCGTTCGGACCCCTCGCTCTGATTATTGCGTTTCCGTGGGGG